AAGCCAAACTCAGTTGTTGCAGCTTTTATTAACAACCAACCACGTTATATTGCTAACATTAAGGTTGTAATGAATCAACAACAATGAATTAACAACACTGGTATATTTCTCTTTCGTCTTTTGGGGAACTGGCACTCTTTTCATTTCTTTCGACAGCCTGGTTTCTGTCAGTGCTTTGATTCACACAGCTTTAAGGTCAGAGTGAACTGGATGAAAATGGGTGCAGATAAAATATGTCTTTTGGGTTAACCAACCGATAAACATAAATGCAATTAAACTATTTCCCCTTTATATTCCTATATAAGTTAGCTTGTGGCCTAAGAGAGATAGTAGATCATTCTGAACATTTAGAACATTTTTAAAAACACTAATTATTCATAGGAATCGAGTTCTGTCCATGTACATGTAATGAAGTCTTTTGCTGTTGGCTATTTATTGTTTATTGTTAATTATCTGACTAATATTAACGATATTTGAGAGAATATCTGAGAATATTCTGGTTGATGTACTAGGATTCATCCATGTGTAATTTGGTTTAATTAATATAACTTATTGGATTTGTAAGATCAAAATAATTTTATTTATGACAATGAAACCTGACTACTTAAATGGAAACAATAGGGATAGAAATGTTATTTTATATCTCAGTGGTCCAATGGGGAATTCAACTTTTTGAATAAATGCAATTTTTTCTCCATTTTCCATTAAATACAAAGCCTAAACACTCTGCAGGTACAATAAACACAATGTAGTATCTGCATCTACATACACAAAAATACACACACCTTGATCTTCTGCTGGATGTGTCTGAGAGCGTCTGCGGTGCCCATGTCTCCATCTTCCTGGATACAAACCACATCCAGTTTCATCTTCACGTCCAACTTCATTTTAGGGTCTGTGCTCATCATCTTCTGGACCTCTTTGGTAGTGATCACTATCACCTCTGTTCACAGAAAATACATATTAGATACACATTAGCTGCAAAAATGTCAACATAACTCAAAATTGCAACACTCCTTGGTGATATTTTCTGTGTAAATAAATTAATATAATCCCTCTCTTGCTAATAAGCTATGTGTCAATTCCTCTAAAATCATCATCTACCCACTGAAATCCAGAAACAATCTTCAGAAAGCAACAATACAAACCCACTGAAGCCTTATGTACATTATGTTTTGCTCCTAATATAAAGACCAATCTTTATGATAGTTAAGCCTTTTTTTTTTTTTTAAAAGCTCGCTAGACCTGATTTTACAAGAGAAAAGAATTTTAAAAGTAATGGTCATTCTCTTCTTTCTCTTCTCTCTTTCCGGTCCTTTCATAAATGAGAGCAGCCATCAGGACCTATTAGGTGAACCTATATTTGTATTCTTGCTCAATATAAGAAGTCTTTTTGACTTTTTGACACATCCTAAACCTTAAATCAGGATAAGACCACTAGCTCCACTTTTGATAAAGTTGGTAACTTACTAGACCACTTCATGAATCTAGAACATTGCAGAGTCCGTCTGCTTTAATTAGCCTTGTCTGCATAAAATGTTCTCTACCATGCATTTGTTCACTCTAGCTGTGTCAGCCTAGTAAAACCAAATTGCAGGGCTTTGGCTAGCTGGCTGCACACAGTAAACTGCTGGCCACACAGGATGATTATGTATAGAAAGCTAGTTTTATTTAGGCTACTGAGGACCTACAGGCTTTTATAACAAACAGCCCTGTTTACTGGCAAGAACAGCATACTGCAACAAATCCCTTTATAAGCCCGGAGTTTCTGGACCTACTGCAAGCTGAAGCACAAGAGGCAAAAACCTGGACTGTAAATCTACGCAGGAAATGCACACCTGACAATGCCTGATGATGTGATGACAAGCTGGTGAAAGTACGACTAGAAAAAGCAGCACAGTTGTAAACTCAATACTTTTTATGCAGCCCCATGTTGCTGGGGAAAATCTGCAAGTATACTTGACTGCTTCATGGTACCAAACAGCAAAAGTAACACTGACCATGAATAAGAAAAGAGAATTAGAATTTGGTCTTGTTATTAAAGCTTAACAGCTTCAAAGCAGATGTACTGTTCAACTGTTCATCATCAATTAGAGTCCAAATTTTGTAGTGTCTCTTTTAGTAGAACATCGAGAGCTGGCCAACACTTGAGGAAATGTGACCAACCTGCAACATTTAACTCTTATTATCTTATTTTTATTATTACGTATTATTATCTTATTATCTGTTATTGTCTGTAGAACTACAGTTCATAGTTTAAACAGACTTCTTGGGTGTATTTTTACATAGAGCTGTTTTTTTTGGTGAAAATTCAATTTGTCATAACAAAAATTGTCATTCTCACATAATCGCAATATCTGTCAAAATATTTGCAATATGATGTTTTTACCACATCGTGCGGCACCAGTCAAAACACTATAGTTTCTACAATCGTCTCTGTCATCCTGTCCCTGTTATCATAAGGAAATGATAAAATGCAACAAAATCGGTTTCTCTTTAAGAATCTCTGTAAAAACTGTAAAAAATTTAAGGGACATCAATCTTTTAGTAATTTTACCTATACAGTACTTATGGTTAAAATGAAAAACAGTTACAGTCCTTGTGTATGAGTATGAGGTGATCTTTTCTCTTAAAAGGTCTCTTTCCACATTAATGTTAAAATGAAGCTTGCACTCTTTTTGTTCCAGTTTTCCAAATGGGCCACATAAACTTACACTAGAAGTACTGGCTATATTTTTTGCTTCTTTACATTTTATGTGGAAACCAACCAAGAATGCCAGTGCACTCTTGTAGCACTTTCCACCCCTGTCACTGACACACAGTGTGAATGGAGGGCTAACAGTTCACATCAGATCCAGATCACTACCATCAGAACATGTAGCTCTAACGAGGAAATGTTACACTGTCAGACCGGGCAGACAGAATATTGCATTTCTAAAATTAATCTTTGAGTTATCTTTTTAATCACATGTAGGATGAAATAAAAAATCCACACTCATCCCATAATGATGAAAAATAGTGAGATTTTTTTCTTTCATTTGCTTTATCTGACTTAACTGCACACACAAACACAGATGTTTTCAGTTACTCTGGCTGATTAGACCTCTGCCCAGATTAAAGGTGGGCAGGTCACTAAATATGCCCGAAAGTGTGCAACAAAAATACAAGGAGAGAATAATACTTGTAGTACTGGTAGCAGTAATAAAGGCATATGTAGCAGTAATAGGGGCATATGTAGCAGTAATAGGGGTATTAGATGTAGTTGATGTAATAGCAGAAGAAGTACTAAAAATTTAGCTCTCACCTTCAAAGCCCACCCTCTCCAGCAGGTTCAGCGGGTACCACATGAGGGGTTTGTTGCCGACAGGCAGCATTGCTTTGGGGGTGTTGTATGTCAGATCAGTCATACGAGAACCCCCACCAGCTGCCATCAACACCGCTTGGAGCTCCATGATGTCTGCTAGGGATGGCTAAGAGAAGGACCAACAGAGAGATTAACAGAGTTATAAAAAATAAATAAATAAAAATGTACCACAGTTTAGATGAATATATGTTTGTGCATATAACAGATGTTGCCATGTAGATAGGTGTTATATAGAGACATAATGTTGCATCATCTATAGTTTGCAAATGTTTAGTACTTTTGTTTAGTTGATACTCTTGAGGCCCTGTGAGACTTTAACTATCTTACCAAAGGGACCAACTTGATACACCTCTGACAATGAACTGAATAACTCATTGTTGGTGATTCAACACTAAAGCTAAATGAGAACTGCACACAGAAGAAAGAGTAACCCAAACATCTGTGCATTTTACAACCTGGTGTTGAACATAGAAACTGAAATAAAAAGAGCATTCTGATTGATTTGGACATGCAAACTCTTATTTTACTTGCTGAACTTTGATGAAAGTTACACACACACGAATTGTCTTTTTATCCCTTTGTCTTTTGTTGAGTGCAATGTTTTTTCCTCTTCATTCACATGGAAGGCTATCGAAATACTAAATACACATATGAGTGGTACACTCTCTTAAAATATGCCTTTTTGGTAACATTTTATAATACAGCTGATGGTTTAAACTGTAATTTAGTTGTAAGAATTAGATACCAATAAAATACCCACTGGTTCCTACTGGTACTTAAATGTAGACACAGTAAAGGAAAACAATACCATGGGGAACAAGGGAGGAACAATTAGGCATTTTATTTTTTATAAATACTGCGGTACCTATGGGGTACAGTGCTAGGATACAACACTGCAGTTTAGGAAACATGATATTCTGCAAAACCTATGAAATAAATCTGATATTACACATTACACAGTCACTAGCTGCTACCAAAACAATAAAAAGGAAAGTGGGCTTTGGAAAATATCCTGAAACTCAGATGTTATTGTTGAACATATAAAGTACAGGGGTTTTATTGTCATTCATGGAGGAAAACCTATACACATATATAACATTTAAATACACTGTAAGAATATTGCGTGCAAAATCTTGACTGCAGGTTGCAATGTAAAATGTATTTATCCTTTCATCCAAAAAACCCCAATTGTGCTCCCTTCTCCCAATAGTCATGTTTGCTTCCTCTGTATCTGCATTTAAGTGCCAGTATGAACTGATAAGTATTGATACCCCCACTCAAACAAGCAAGTCAACACACGTTAATAGAGTACTGTTCCTAAGAAAGTGACACTGGTGTCCTGTAAACTGTGTGAGTACAGCATTGAACAGGTGAGCTGCAGAGATTCACATCAGACTGCATAAGGAAATCCGGATGTATTTCAACATTAGGCTCAAACTGATGACAGCTCATCCACACAGCACTGACACAACTGACGTCAGCGGTACAGCACGGCATTAACAAGAATATACAATAAATCAGGTCGACTCGCTCCATGGGTGAAAAATAAGTCTAAATATACCTGTCAGTGATTCCTGTTGATCCGCTGCCACTTGAAAAGACAGCAACGGTGCAGACGCATGGAGGTTGGTTGCTGTCACTGTTGTTAGCACTTTGCTAACGATTAGCGCAGAGCAGCGGTCGATACCGCGGCTTCAGGGACAGCTCACAGGCAGCTGGACGCGTCCTCGGAGAAGCAAACACCCACTCTGGTAAGCGGCGGTGGTAGAAGTTCAATTACTCGTGGAATATTTTGACAGAGGTTGTGTTCAAGAAGCTAACAGCTAGCATCAAATGATGACATCTGGGTGCTTTCGGTGAAATAGGTCCGTGTGGGAAAACTACTTCCGCCGTAAAGTGGTTCCTGGCCGCGGTAGTAGAGATACGCACATACAACACATAAACACAATATTAGAAACAACAACAGGTACAGCTACTTTACAGTGTTATTGAGGTGCTCTCTAGTGTCAATTTATTATACCAGGACAAGAAAAAAAAACATGAAAGCCATGGGAAAAATAAATGAAACTAAAATAACAATTAAACTGCAGTCTCATGGTTAGATTTCCAACGCTTTTGGGATGAAACTCTCATTGTAAATATTATTTGTTGCAATATATAACATCATGTTTTTTTGTCAAAACACATGAACTCCATCTTTACCTTGATGACCACAATGATTATGGTTATTATGATTATTATTATCATTAGTTGATTATAGAAGATAAGAAACAAAAATCTCATGAGCATTTAAGAGTTTAATGGCTTAAGAAATAAAGTGATTACTTAGCAAACCATAACCATAGTAACAATAGGAAAGTTGATGACTGACTCTATTGTGGAAATATGGAAGAGTTTCATAAGATGTGGTTGTTATTAATGATGCTAACATTTTATATGTCACCCTTTATGTCCTGTTTTTATTTTTATTTTTTACAGTTGCTATCTTTATTCAGTAGCTGTCTGTAACTGAATAACTACTATGAAACAATTAGCTTAAAATAGACAAGCATTTTTTTCTTTTTGACCATAGGAGAAGTAATTTATAGGGGCTCTCTCTCTCTCACACACACACACACACACACACACACACACACACACACACACACTCACACACACATACACACACACACACACACACACACACACACAAAGTGGTGTGAGCCGATTAGCAGCCAGAAGCCACCCAGCTACTCCTCCAGACTTCAAGCTTGAAAACTCCCAATTCACAGAGCTGAGACGTAACAGCAAATTGAGCTCGGGGAATGTGGCTTTGGTTTTGTTTGCTCTGGCCAGGAGATGAGCTTGACTGCTCATTGCTGCTTGCTCGAAACCAAAAGATCGAGCGAAGGAGAGAGGAAGGAGAGTGAAAAAAGAGAGAAAGAGACAAACAAGCTTGTCTGTCTGTTGTTGCCTGAATGCCAGAATAATGAAATAAAATAATAATGGGATGAGGAAAGCCTGGCGGGTTGAAATGTTGGTGGAGGAAGAGAGAGGAAGTGAAAATAGGTTTGAGGGACAGGTTCCTGGAAAAAGGGGTCTTTAATAAATGGCTAGAAAGTAGAAGAGATGAGAATGAAGAGTTGAAGAAGAGGGAAACAGCTGGGAGAGGAGTGAACGAAGAGTAGATAATAAGAAAGAAACAAGACATGGAGACACTTACAGACAGACAAAGAGAGAGTGAGGGTTTCTTGTAAAATGTCACAAACAGTGGAAAGGCTTCACATTTGGGTCATGGTTGTGTGAACAGCTGATGCAGTTATCCTATAAGAGCTCAGTCATACATTAAATAAACACATGCTCAGCTTTAGTTTTTTTTTTAGTAGTGAAACGTTCAGGCAATTTACAGCTCAGTATGTCTGCATGGGATAGTAAAGTCAGCCACATTAGTATAGAGATAGTGATATACTCTTTTCTGTTGCTTGATCTGCAGCTCAACAACATACACTGGAGGAAGAAATGACAATTCAATACAATTTCAGTTTCTTAAAAATGACAAAAAGTCATCAGTAATCTTAGTTAAAGTACATTTATTTTGTATGTGTAGTAAACCTAGTAATTTGAAATGGTCTGACTGGTATTATCCAGCCCTGACAAAGCAGAGGTGTTGGTTAGACCAGGCAGATAGTGGAATCAGTTTGTGAATACCGCTCCAAACATCAATGATTGAGCACTTCTAGAAACAGTGCTGGTGTTCTTTTAAATGAATACTCCACCAATTTAATATTGCTCTTCCCTGGGTTTCTGAGGGCTTTCAAGATGCCAAGATATCCTGACTTTTATTCCCTTGTATGGGTCAAGCTCGTAAAACCTTGGATCCTACATTTCCCATCACCTAACTCAAACAACCCTTACCCTATCAGGAAACACCTAACAGGGCACATTACAGTAGTTTCCAAATGCATCTAAAAGAACTCAGTACAATTCTAAGTAACAGATTAATCTTTCCAATGTGCTCAAGCTACAAAAGGTCCTTTATGTTTTTCTGTTTCTCCTCTTCACCCGCCCAGTTTACAAGGTGTTGTCAGTGTGCAGGTGGCATCCCCTTCTCTTCATAAAAAGGGGGATCTGGCACAAAAAAGTGAAGCTGCAATAAAAGTCAACCCAAACCACTGACACTCACAGAGATTACTGCTTGGCTGGTTTACCACAGAGCGCTGATGTGTGCAAGACATTCCACATTCAACTAAACTGGAGATCTGGGCTGCAGTTTACTGGTGTCACTGAAAGCTCACATGACAAGATGCAAACATCTCTGTGAAAAATACAAAAGGTGGATGAGAGTGTCTTTTTTCTCTTTACACAGAAGAAGAGGCCACGCCAGCACATTATACTATAGGCGTTTTTTTTTTCTTGGAAAGACACTGCTATTGCATCATCTTGTTCTTCATATGGTATGTTCATTAAAAGAAAGAAGTGTGTGTGTGTGAAAGACAGTCAGGGACAGATTGTTATCAAGATTTTCTTTCCCCTTTTTCTGTGGGAAATTAGAATTGGAGAAAAAAAAACCCGCTGAGAATGAGGGTGAGAGCCTTCACAGGCAATTGAAAATCCACTGATCCCTTGTGTTTTGCATATCATGAAAGCCTGGCTAATTTGTCAAATGAAGACATCCGTCTAAAGCGATGAGCGGGGGGCAAATGAAAAAGACACAAACACAGAACACCACAGTTCTGACACAGAAACAGATGGAGATAGGCATGAGAACAGACTTAGAGACAAGTCTGCAGGTCCAGTCACATAGTGACTTGAAATGGAGCCCTATGATTTCCTCTGATTTCCTTCTCCCTGCTTGGCCCTGTTGCTGCATCTTGTAAATCATTCTCAATTCACTGAAACAAGCCAGTTGGATTAGCTTGGTTTAGATCATAAACATTTGCAGCACAGACCACCCAGGGAGAGAGCAGAGCCAAGGCGAGAGTGTGTGTGCGTGTGAGCGTGCATGCATGGGCGTGTACGTGTGTGAAGCCTCCCTCTGAGCTTAGAGGTGGGCACTGCAGCACATACACACTCAAATGTGGTCTCACACATAAGCATGCACGCACTCATACACACACACAGACATACTTATACTGTGGTTTGTGTTTGCGCCACTTCCAGGGCCAGTGCACTGTGGGGCCCTCGCCGCTGCCGTGGAAACCAAAACAGGCCCGTTCACCCAATGTCAGAGATTAACACACACATACACACACACACACACACACACACACACACACACACACACACACACACACACACACACACACACACACAAGGCACAGATAAAGATGTCTCACTGCATTGCAGCTTAACAATACTGCAGATATTCATTTACTGTAAAAAGACATTGCTCTTCATTAACGTGTTCATTCACTGATTACCATAAGTAATGAGTTGACTGGCTGGTGTATGTTTATGTTTTTAATTACAGTAAATGTATTACTCTTCATTGTTTACTCAGAAAGGCACAACCAGGTTTCTGTTATTTATGGTTTAACAAGATACGGGTGATTGTCAAACCAAGTATAATTGTTCATCTTCTTCTTGAAACCAGCTGCAAAACGTTAAGTGTCATCGACCCAAACAACTGTGATATGAAGCATGTTTTCCAAGGACTTTGACAAATAAATGCTTTTTTTTTTTTCTTCCAAAAGTTCAGCAGTCTGCGTCACCAGACCTTGAAATTCATTCTTTTTCACTTGAGCACAGTTGGAGTAATTCTTCTCTTGTTTCTCTCCACATGCAGGAATGATCTGAGAGCCAAGCTGGTGTCAGAACCAGGAAATATCTGGGCTGGGTTTTGAAGAGCCAGAGTGGGAAAAGCTGGGCAACTCCCTGCCGCAAGGCGCTGGCACTTTCCTCTGTATGCCGCTTGTCTGTCTAACTGTGTGTCTAACTGACTTTTAAACTTTTTGTGTTGTCCATTTACCTGTCTTTTAACTTAACTTCCTCTCTGTTTACTTGTGGCCGGTCTTGTCTGTCTTGTTGCCTTTTATTCTATATTACCTGTTTATATTGTTTGGTTTACTTTGGTTTTCTCTGCACCAGCTGGTATCCAGAAGAGAAGCACTGCTGTGTATGGGGTACTTTCAACTTTTGTAAAAACTATATCGACCCGAATATTATACGATGCTGTCTCACAGAAAAAGTTGGGGTTACCTTTAAAGACTGTACATTTATACACTGAAAAGCAGGTGTTTTGAATGGAGTGAGTGATGGCACAACACAGCTTGTACAGTTAAAAACAATTAATAATTTGCCTACCTTGTTTCATTTTAAGTGCTTTTTTCCTCCACATTTAGGTATTGCAGAATGAGTTGTCATCTTATAATCAGGCTTGTCTTACTATGCTATATGGAATATGTGGATGAACCCCCTTTGTGTGTAATGCAGAGGTAAGTGCTACTGCTTGATTGAAAAGTTTATAGTAAAAAACACAAATATATGAAACAGTAGGAACAATATAAAATGAAGAAAAGAAGGAAGAAAGGAACAGATATAAGTAAGAGAAAGGATTCCCGTCATGGTTTGACCTCAAAGTTCCAACACACAGTTCCCTGTCTTCAGTGTGTGTATGTGTGCGCTTGTCTACATGTTTTCCCTGTGTGGTTGAGGGACCTCCCAGTCAGTGGACAGTCCGTAAGACAGAATGTGGCCGCAGAAAGACGCACACAGACATAGACACAAACACACACACAGTCTTTCTATATATCGATAGTTAAAAAAGTCGCTTTGGGAAAAAACATCTCCAGGCTTTATTTCAAATAAAATATGCGAACATTTTTGGAAAAGATCATTCCAGGATAATGCATCCAGTCCAAATGAAGTTACAGTACAGGAATTACCTGTGATTTTCTCAAGTCATCTTTACTGCTGTCTTTCACAATCACAATGAGGTAACAGTAAGCGTTCACATTATTCCATGTTAAAGAAAGCTTTTCTTCAGTGGATCTATCCACTGTCGATCTATCTATCTAGGAGAAATCTTACTGCACACAGGAAGCAGTAGTAGTTTTATTAGTTTAATAAGATAATGAAAAAAATTTCAAACAGATTATTTTTTTGCCACTTCATCACTAGGAAATGTTTTTGCAAAAACATGATACATTTTTTTTAAAAAACAGGGCATTGTCATAATATGTTTAAAAAAATGCAACAAAGCCTTTTCAGAGAGAAACCAAGTCTATTGTAAAAATATTGTCAAAATCTCCCAAAGTGTCCCAGGATGCTTTGGTAAGTCAGAATCAAGTTTATTGCCAAGTAGGTTTTCACATACTGGGAATTTCCCTTGTTATATTGGTGCATAACAATTAACAAAGTGCGAGAAAATCTAAAGAAAGATGAAAGCAAGTAAGGGGTCAGCCTCAATTTTTCCTGCTTGCCTCAGGGTCCTGGAGGAGTACAGGTCCTGGAGGGATGGAAGATTAGATAAATCACTTCTCTCTCCTTTCGAAATGTTTCATGGGTAAGCAATGACTCAGCAATGGGTTTAGCTCTTTTTATATATATAAACCTGTCCCGTTTTATGGACAACACACCCAAAATATTTGGTCATGTTTGATCTCTTTCTATCTGGTGGCCTACATGTGTAGTTAAACTTTCCTTCTCTTTCAGCAAAAACAACGTGCTCACACACACGCACACACACACGCACGCACACAAAAATCGTCTTTTCAACCGAAATAAATGTTTATAGCATTCCAAACATTTTGTGTGTGAGACAGTACGTGTGGTCCTGTCTGCACCTAGCGTGAGGTTTGAGGTTAAGGTGTTTGTCTGCTAGTGTGTGTGCAGGTCAGTGATGTCTGTGTGTGAGGGTGTGTGTGAAGAAAGAAAGAGAGAGAGAGAGACAGAGAAAAAGCGAGTGGGGGGTGATGAACTGAGGAACACCCATGCTCACTTCTAAAATGTTTGTGTTTTGAGAAAGGGAGAAAGACATTGAGAAATAAGAAAAATAATGTCTGCATCCAAGCTGTTTGGGAACACTGTGACTCAGTGGTTAGTACAGACACAAAGGCTTAAGGCAGGTAAAAGTTTGATGAATAGAGTTAAATTAGTTGTGATGAATATTTTTAGAAAGAAAGAAGAAAGTCTCTGCTGCAGCTATTGGCGATGGCACGAAATGGTGAGAGAAACACACAAATGCACAAACAACAACAACAAAAATTTTAAACTTACTAGAATGAAGAATATATGAAAAATGTATTACTTTACTAGAATCAAACATTGCAAATATGTAAAGGCAAGTATTTAGGCAGTGTTGACATGGCACATATTTAACAAATTAGTAATTTGTGCAGCAGCAACTATATTTTTTCTCTTCGTAGCTTCCTCCGTTATCCTCTTTGGTTTCTTCCCCTCTGCCATTTGCTAACGCTATGCCCACAGAAGATGCTGAGCCCAGTTACATTGCCAGCTCACCCGGCTCCCCTCAAACTTCCAACTCCAGTGGTCCATAGCTCCTGTGCTACCGATATAAACACCTACACTCCCCTCAGTGCTCTGATCACCCAGTCTTGGTCGTCCAGGCCAGTACGGCTAGCTAACTACCTAACAGCAGATATGTTTCATTAATTTATTGTCCATCAGGAAACTCTGTAAATCACTGACAGTTGAGGCAGTGGGAAAAACAGAAAACATTTTCTCCATGAAATATGATCCAGTTTCACCAAAATCAGTGACATAGTTGGTGGTGTGTGACTTACTGCTGTGTTATTGCAACCTGGAGCCAAAAGTAATGTAGTGCAAGAACAGGCGTACACAGCGCTGAGTGGAAATGACGGAGTACGAAATGTCAGTATAGTATAAAAATGATAGTGAAGTTATTTTAAGGTGGAAAAGTTAGGCTACAGGATGTTGCTTTAAAACTCATCCCAAATGGAGCCACTGGTGAATGACACTGACACTATTGACTATACACCTACACAGCCAGTTGCTAGTCTCAATTTTGCAGTGACACACATTCATAAAAAAGTGAAGTTAGTGACTTTAGAGCTTGACAGTTCTTAACCTTAACAAGCTGACAAACAATCTCAGCTTGATATGCATCCTTTGACCTTATCAAACATCTCTGTGAAAGTTGTCATGGAGCTGTAGGTGTGTTGTGTTATGTGTGTTGTATGTGTTATAACTCACAGTGACAAACACTGGGAGTTTGTATCTTCCTATCATATCTCTGTGGGTTTCCTCCAAGTTCTATGTTCCTCCCACTGTTTTAAGACATGCAGGTGAGGTGAACTACTCAACCTAGGTTCTAGGTGTGAATGTGTTTGTCTGATTATACTGTATGTGTTAGCCCCTAACTACAGGTCACCCTGTGCACGCTGGGTGACAATGCTCTCCCAATCCGTTATCATCCAGCATGCTGAAATAAACTGAAGAAATAAATACATGTTAAATAGATCTACACCATGTATGAACTATTAGAATTAGACACTGGCCATGTTTTTATTTGCATTTAAAAGAGACTTGTGCTATAAAACAATAATAACCCAGCCCCAATAACAGTGAAGTCATTCAGTAACAAATAGCACAGCATGCCATCCCAGCATTTTACAAATCTCTGTCTTTCCCTAAAGGACTATAACGCCAGGCACTATAAAATACATGGAAACAGTTGTTTGCATTTAGAGACCATTATACAAGTAAATAGCACAACACACACACAAACACCCATACCGGCATATTCACACATACACATGACCACACACACAATTGTCGATTCTAGGACACTCAAATGATGATACAAGTGATAAATAATGATACAAATGATATCACTCGTACCACTCCACCCCTGATTACCTGCAGCTACTTTTGCCTAGCTGTTTGAATTAAGTCCATTTCTGACTCAGGGTTTGTTGCTTTATGCTATGAATAAAATTTTATTTGTGTTTTAACTTGATTTACTTTGGCTGACATCAGAGTGTTTTGGCATTTTTGTGTTGTATTTCACCATTCACTGTCAATGCCAGTAGAGAACAGTAGTGTCCGCTCTTTCACCTCATATTTGTGAAAAGACGTGTGTTTCTAAATAATTTTTTTTTTTGCCACATTGACTCCATGGCTCTGCGGATAACACACAAGGATGCACGACAATATGTGTTAATGTGTGTGTATTAGGGAAAGTGAGACACAGAGGGAGGAAAGACAACATCTAAATGACTTCTTGTTTCTTGTGAAATATATCGTCATTTTGTGTAGGGAGGCTGAGTATCATTTCAAGGGATTCTGTATCAAAAATAAGTTGTGTGCATATGCTTGCAATACACACACACAGTGCACACACACAGATATACGCATCTGCTCCAGATGTTGAGAGTTTTTTTTTCAGTGAAGGTAGTGCTGCCTCACGTCGGAGAGGGGATAAATCACAGCCCCTGGACAGCAGTGAAGACACTTTTAGAGGCGTTCGTAAACCCAGTGCGTTCATTTTGTTCCCATATGGCAATATTCACAGATGCTATTTGGAATGACACTCACATACAGGGAGCAGTAGGGTAGTCGTACACAGGGCCAATTGTTTTCAATGCTACTCATCAAATTTTATTTTCTACTCTGGAGGAGATGAAATTCAAATGTTGCACCACATAAAAGACACGTTGCTCAGGTTGTTTCTAAAAGTCTAAGAGTACAATATCAGACAAACTGTAATTGATGGAGGGACACACATTGTATAGCCTAGAACAGAGGCTCTCAATCTTTTGGGGAGTTCTTAAAAATGAAGCAACCAATGTCTACCTGTTACCCTTGATCACAGTTTATGGTTTTCCTCCTTGATTTTTTTTAACTTAAGGATTTTTAGGAGCCCTGTTCATTGAATGTGTTGATACTAAATTAAAACATCAAAAAAGAAATAAAAAAAGAAATATATTTTTGTGTAAAAGTTTTCTTTTATTCTTTTGTGAAATCTTTAGATTACTCTTGTGAATCCATATCACATCCTGTTTTAAATTCAACAGATATCAGGTTTGAGCATGGAAGCCCCATTCTGGGTTTGACTGCAACTGTATCTATGCTGATACTTAAGATGATCCTGAAGTTGTTCTTTTGATAAAGTACCTGGAACTCAACCAGGTTTAGAAACCTGCATGCAGTATTCCAACACAACCAGCAGGAAATTCAGCAGTACTCAGACTAACTACTGTAGCTGATCATGGGTGTCTGCCAAAGTCATTTATTAAGATGAAATATGATCATTTTTAGATGAGATCTCTGACAATAATTATCATCATAATAAGTCATTTTAAATTAAAAGTGACC